ACAGCGGATGGCACAGCGGATGGCACAGCACGTGGATCAGACACAGCCCTCACAGCACAGCGCAGCCCTCACACGAACCCACCGGTGGGACCCTGCCCGCTGACAGCGCCCGGCCGGGCCCCCGCCGCAGCACGGGGCCAGCAGTCCCGGAGCCCATGCACGGACCCGGCGCTGCCCCAGCACCACGGGGACCCGGGCACACCCGAGAGCCGCGGGGACGGGCCCGGGGGGGCTGCACGAGGCCGGGGCCGGGGCCGCGCCCCCTGCCCTGCACCGGAGGCGGCCGCGGGGGAGCGGCGCGGGGCGCAGCGGGCTCCGTCCCCGCCCGGGGGCACCGCCCGGGGCTCCCCCCCACCGGCCCCGCCGCCACGGGGCTGTCCCGGCCCCGCCCCCCCCCCCGCCGGCTCCGCCTCCCGGTACCGGGGAGCCCGCGCGGCTCCGCCCCGGCCGTGCCCCGCGCACGCCGCCCCGCGCCGCTGCCGCCCCGCGCCCGCCGCCGCCGCCGAGCAGCAGGTACCGAGCGGGGAGCGGGGAGCACGGGGAGGGGGCGGCGGGGCCGGGCCGGGCCGGGCTGAGCCCCGCGGGCAGCGGCCCTGCGGAGCCCGCTCGCTGCGCCGGGGCCGGGAGCCGGGGCGGAACGGGGAGCCCCGGGGCCGGGAGCCCGGAGCCGTGCGGGCAGCCCGGGGCCGGCGCCGGGACCCCGGGGCAGCGCGGGGACCCGCGGCCGGGAGCCGGGCGCAGCAGCCCCCGGGATGCGCGGGGGCCGGGGGGGGCCGGGGGCGCGGTGCCGCCTTGCCCGGCAGGGAGCCGCGGTGCCCGGGCGGCCGTGCCCGTTCCTCCCCGCCGCCGGAGCTCGGAGCCCGGCCCCGGGCAGTCCCTGCCTCCCCGTGCCGCGGGGGTCGCAGCGCCCCCGGGGCTCCTCTCGCCTGTGCCTGGGGAGTGGCGGGGGGCACGGTGCCCGCGGCACCCACACCCCGCGCAGAGGTGCCGGTGGCACCCGCACCGAGCACATTGCTGAGGCTGTGCCGGGGTCTCTGGGGGCACGGGGCCGTGCTGGGGGCTGTGGCCGAGGGGATAAATCTGGGCGCTGCCGCGTTACAAGGGCTGGAGACCCCCGGGGTCTGGTCCCTGCACCGCAGCCCTCCTGCCCTGCTGCCTCCCCCAGCCCGTGGCACCTCCGCTCGCAGATCGGCTCCTGCGGGAGATGTGGGCACGGAGCTGGGCTCCAGCAGCAGCCTGCCCGGCTCAGCCTGGCTCAGCCTGGCTCACTGCTGGCCCTCGGCTGGAGACACGTCCATCAGCCAGAGCCGTGTTTGTGTCTGACACGCACACACATGATCCCAGGGATGTCACTTTGGGTACCGCACGCTGCGCTGATGCCGGCTGTGGGTACGGCTGCTGGCGCTGGAGGGATTCAGCCCACGTTGCTGCCGGCAGCTCCCAGCGCCGTGTTCTGTGCTCGAGGCCTTTGTGTCTGCCGGGGGGGCTTCAGCAGCTGGGGTGGTGGGAGCAGGGCCGGGGCAGCCGTAGCTGCTGCCCATGAAATACGAAGGCAAAGCTCCTGCGGACTGCTCGAGTCCCTCTCCTCCCCGCAGGAGTGCACACAGAACTGAGCCGGAGCTGCAGCTCCTCGCAGAGGCACGCAGGGAGTTGGGAGAAGGGGTCCCCACGGAGCCGTTTTTTCTGGTCAGAGCACGAGGTGGACACGTGTGAGGAATCGCTGGGACCCGGCTTTGTGGCTGTGTGCCCAGAGAGGGACGGTGAGAGCCGCGTGCCCGTGGCGGGGCAGGGGACTGCTTGCCAGCCTGCAGCTGCCAGCGCCTCCCAGGGCACAGGAACAAGCCCTTTGGGATGGGCGGGGATGCCAGGGTCCGCTGGCTGTGTCCCCTCGCTGGCGGCCTGCCTGAGAAGGGGACCAGGAGCTGCCCAAGTCCCTCCTGGGCTTGGAAGCAGCTCCAGGCGAGAGCTGGCACAGGCTGGCGGCCCTGGTCCTGTCCTGGCAGGTTCCACATCTGCTGGGAAGTGCTCAAAATCCCTCCCGTGCGCTTGGAGAAGCAGAGTGGATTTAAACACAGAAGCTCCTTTAGACTGAGGTTATCTTCTTTACAAATCATAATTATTATAATTATTTAATAGTATGGTAGTGTTCAGAGGCCACAAATAATTAGTGGGTTCATTTGCATCTGTAGTAACAATACTTCAGTCGTAACCAGTGCTTTTGGACGGGGTCTGTCTCGTGTGCTTTCAGTGGTACTCGTACCACCCTGGCTGCTTTGTGGGTTGGGAAACCGAGGCACGCGGCAAAGACACTTGCTAATTCCTAAATTCCCCTGGTAGCGAGTGTTGTCTAAGGCGCATAAAGATAAAGGGGGGCCGGCTGCTAGATGGCATTGGAAATCCACTTAAAGGCAGGAATTTGTATTCTGAGATGACGTTCTCTGCACTGGTGCTGGGAAGCTGCAGCCGCAGAGGCCTCCTGCTCCCGCTGCCAGGGCTGCAGCCTGCAGACGGTGCGGCAGCGGGACGGGGGCACCGGTCCCCGTGGGGCCGTGGGCTCGGAGCTGCAGGGGGCAGCGGGGCTGCGTGCCCCCCGTGGGGCTGCGCCAGGCTCCCCGGGACGGGTGCACGCGAGGCCGGGCATTGTGGCCGTCTGCCCGTGAATTGCTGGGCGGCAAAACCTTTCTAGCTTTTTCCAGAAATGTGCTTTGTGGACAGCTTGTGGCTTTCTAATAAAATTCCTGGCATGTGAAGGAGCACATCCAGTCCCCGTCTGCCGGGGCTCCCCAGCCCGCAGGCTGCTGGCTGGCGGCGTGGCTCCAGATGGAGAGCGGAGCCCGGTTCTGCGAGGGGCGACACGCTGCTCCCTGGGAAAGTGCGGAGCTGTGGGATGTCTTGTGACGAGCTGTGTCTCCTGTGACCACGAGCCTTTAGGCCATGTCCCATTTTGTTTGTCCTGTGATCACTCTGGGGACAGCCTCTGCTGGAGGAAGCACCGGCCAAGCCTGCCTGCTCTCGAGGCCAGGTCTGTGTCAGGTGTTCTCCCCATGTCCGTGCACCTGCACGAGCTGTCTCTGAGACTCAGCAGAATGCAGTGTGCCCATACCACTGGGAAGGAAGCAGACAAAGTGGTGCCTTCTTCCCATGGTGGTCTCTTCTGTAGCCTCAAGGAAAGGCAGCCAAGTGGTGCTGCACAGCCCAGGAGCTGCAGGCTGCACGGGAGGTGTTCGTGCCTCCCACTGAGGAGGTTAAGGAAAGCCTCGGGATGTAAAACAAACTCCTCACCTCCTCCTGCTCTGTACTGCCTGGTCTGCCTGTGTTCCCCTGGGCAGGTCACTCTGCCTCTTCATGTCTCATTTGAAATGGTGACAGTGGTGCTCCTCTGCATTGCAAAGAGCTGGGAACGAAAGCAAGTCACAGCAAGAACACAGCCACTACTGCCACCACAGCCATATTAGCATCCGTGGGAGACAGAGGAATAATTTGACTTCCACAGGCTTCTAAAGGCTTTCTCCAACGGCTTTGCATCTTGCTGCATCTCCTGGCCATGCAGTCTCCACCTGACAGCACCGGTGTGTCTGCAGTTGAAGGAGGGAAGCACGATGTAAGGGTGAGATGACGGCCTCTGGGTGCCGGGAGGGCGTTGTTGCTTCTTCACGGGTTTTGGTGTCCTTTTTGCTGGGCACCGGCCGTGGGACCCAGGCAGGGGCTGCAGAAGCCTCAGGCAGCCCTGGAGAGGTGCTGGGGCCCCAGGGAGCACCCGGGCTGGGCTGGGGGCTCCGGCCATCTCCAGGGCCCCTGGACTGGGAGAGTGACTCATTTTCCTGCAGAGCTCTTCAGCCAGTGACCTAAATAAAGATGTGTGCAGATCCCTTGGCTCGTGCGAGCTGCCACTTCCACCAGGCACCTGCTGTCACAGAAAAGGGACCTTTGTGCCAGCAGTGCTCCTCTGGGGCACCCAAGTGGCATCTGCAGTGAGTGTGCGTGGTGGTGTGAGTCCTCCAGGGCACTGCCCCAGCTCGGGGAATTCGCTGTCCTCAGATGGAGCTCTTTGGGTGTTCCCAGCAGAGCCGTGGGGGTGCCGGAACAGAGCGCGAGACCTTGCCTTGGGTGCTGGTGGTGGAGAGGTGTTCAGCCCCCACGGGAATGGGCGAAGCTGTGGGGGGGACGGGGGAATGGGGAGCTGGCCTGGAGGTGTGGGCAGGGCCTGCCCCTGCTCAGCGCTGCCAGCCTGCAGCCATGGAAGGGGCCTGAGTCCCTGCGTCCTCATGGCAAAGCACACGGGCTCCGAGCTGAGGAGGGAGGAGAGCTGTTCAAGCAAAGCACGGTACTGGCACAAGCACAAACGGATATCAACTGGCCGTGATTAAGTGCCTGCAGGAAATGAGGAGGCCTGCACGCCTCCAAACAGCCGGGTGCTGGAAGAGCCTCCAAGAGCAGCTGCGAGGGCCGGGCACGTGCTGGCTTCGTGCTGGCGCTGCCCCTGCGAGGAGCTGGGGTTTGGCGTTGCTGGCTGCTGAGGAGACGCTCTCCGTCCTCCACCCCCACGTCCCGTGGATGCTCCACGCCGAGTACAAACGTGCCGAGTCCTCTTGGAGCCAAACTGGGATTAAGTCCTGCTACCGGCTGATGTATTGAGAACCTGGCTCCTGCCTGGTCATCGGCTGTGCGCAAATGCCTCATCCTCTGTTTCCTCCTGTGCTTGCCGTAGCACCTCATCCCCTTTCAGAGATCAGGGACAGCAAAGGTTTTGTCCCAAGAGGAACCGTTGTACCCAGTAGTGGAGCTGGGTAATTAGCTGTTCTCTTCTGCAGCTCCAGAAGAATATGACTTCCTCTCTCATAAATCTAATCTCCCAGCTTCCTGCGTCTTGAGGAGAAGATTTATGTGTCTGCTCTGGTTTTCCTTCTTCCACAGACGTTGCCAGGAGGAGGAGGAGGTGGAGGATGGGTGGAGAAGGGGCTGGGGCCGTGCAGGATCACTCCCGGGCACGGGGGTGGCTGGGACCCCGTGGTGGTGCCTGCAGCCCTGGGTCCGGTGCCCAGGGTCTGTCCAGCGGTGCTGGGCTGGTCTCTGCTGGCGTCGTGGCGTCGGGAGGAAGAGCTGGGCAGGGCTGTGCCATCCCAGTGTGGGGAGACGAGAGCGGGCAGGCAGCTGGAGGCTGTGCCTCCGCCCTGCAGCATCTCCAGTGGATGGAGGAGCAGGTGTGAAGCAGGGCTTTGTTCCTCTCAGCCCAACCCTGCAGCCCATGTATCAAGATAGAGCATGGGAAGATTTGCTGCCTCTCTTACAAGATTCGCCAGCCCATTAATCAGGACGGGCCGGAGCAGTGCCACTGTCGCAGGCCCTCGCTCTCTGGGAGGGATGTGCAGGGCCTGGGCTGCGGGCAGGAGCTGACGGCGCTGGCAAGGTGCAGGGCAGCGAAGCACCACCGGGCTCTGGACACCAGCACACACAGCACAGCAGCAGGTTCGTGGACCTGAAGGACACCAGGCTGATGTGAGTCGGAGCCTCAGTGCCAGCCGTGAATCCCAGACGTTTGGAGAAAGACTTGATGCGTGTGGGGGCAAGGGCAGCCTGAGCGCGGGGGGATCGGCACTGCAGTTCGGTGGTGCCGGTGGCCAGGCAGTGGGGAAGCTGCCTGTGTCCCTTCCACGGCTCCTGGGTCTCGTTCAGCTGATGGGACATCTGCTCCCAGCTGCACTGAGCATCCAGCTCATCTGGCGAGCCCATCACTGGAGTCCTCATGTCATCTATTGCATTACAGTGGCGTCATCTGGTTTTATCTATAAATCATCGCGTATGACTTGCTGCTTGTAATTCCCATGTGAACAAGAGGAGAAAAACACTCAGACCTCAAGCGATTGCCAAGATGGAGGATCCACCACCACCTAAATTCTTTCCAAATTGCTCTCACACTGGATGACCTCACCTTTCAAGGAAGTCATTCACCATCTGAACGTGCTGACCACCAATTTCCAGGCACTGTTATGTTGCACTTTACCTGCACGGCTGCAGGGGAGTGCCATTCCCCACGGCACAGACCCCTCTTTGCAGTGCCTGTTCCCTGCCTCTTGCATGGCACTTTTGCCGTTCTCATTCCTTATCCTTCTCTCAGTCTTTGTATCATCTGCACATTTTATGGGTGCTGACTCTTCTTCTTTGAGGTCACTAATAGCCAGTGTTAGCGTGGGGCCCCGGCCGCCCCTCCACAGGACCTGAGCAGAAGCACGGCTAATTGGTGATGATCGCTGGATGATTATGTCTTGAGACATGCTGGTTAGCCAGTTTTTAATCCATTTAATGTGTGCCACATTGCTTTCGTATCATTCTGCTTTCTTCGTCAAAATGTCAAATGCCTTACAGAAATCCAAGTCTGTTCCATCGAGGCTTTTACCTTCGTCGACCAAACTGGGAATCTCATCAAAACAGACAGAAAATTAGTTTGATGAACCGTGTTTCCTATAACCCCGTGCTGACTGGCACGACTGGTACATGCTGCCATCCTTCATCTGTCATTAATCAAGCTCTGCATCTGTTCCCACCGCTGCCCGCAGAGGCACCAGGCTGGTGGGTCCCCGTGCCAGCCCCCCCCGGTGCCTCTGCGCCCAGGGCTCTGCGGGTCTGATGTGCTGCCTGCGCCGGGCTCTCCTGTGGCCTTGGCCACACTAACGCATCCAGAGCTGCAAGAGGGGAAGGTCCTGTAGCACCGTGGCGTCCCCACCTCCACACCTGCAGGAGTGCTGCGTGCCAGGGTGCCCACAGCTCTGGTGGGTTCCTCACCTCCGGGAGCATGGCTGCCCTGCCCTGCCCTGCCTCCTCCACGGGTGCGCATGGGGAGCTCCTCGGGGCCAGCAGCAGGACGGGCAGAGCCAGCCTGCCCTCCTTGGTGCAGCTCCACTGGCAAAGCTGGGAGAGGAACACTCTGAATCCCTGGTGCCTGCTTGCTCCCTGCCCTGCACACATGGGCAAAAGCAAAGCGTGGGGAGCCCTCCTGCCCCTGCGTCAGCTGCGAGGGGTGCACAGAGCTGCTCGTGTTTGCTGGGTGTGAGGCTGGGGTGCTGGCGTGCGCAGCCCTTACACGCGCTCGAGCAGGGACTGCTGGAGAGCTGCTGGCACAGGGCACCTGAGGACAGCCTCAGCCACCACGCAGGAGCGAGGACAGCTCCCATCCTTCAGCTGTCCCCTCCCCTGTCTGCCTGTATCCCCAGTCCTGGTCATCCCCCTCCAGAGGGGAGCTGCTGCAGTCCTGGGCTGACAGCAGCTTGGCCCTAAAGGGGCTGACTCAGTTTCGGGACCCCAGAAGGGCTCCAGCTTTGTAGCACCACGTTACTCAGCACGGCAAGACCAAGCAAAGCAATCTGTGCCTTGTTTTGGGGAGGGTGGCACCAGCAGGGAACGCTTCTGCTCCTGTGCCTTCCGTCCGGCAGCTCAGGTCCTGCACAAGGTGCCCAGGGGCAGGGAGCTGTGGGCACAGGAAGATTTGTGGGCTGCGGTGCCCCGCTGGGAGAGCAGCGCTTGTGCGGGCGCCTGGGTGAGCATGCAGGCTCGTTGGCATACACCGTCCCGAGTGCCATCTCCCACTAAACAAGCTTGAAGATAGCAGCTGGAAAGCCCTGGTGCGGCTGAGTGCCGCGTGCCTGTGCTTCCTGCACAGCCCCTTCCCCATGGCCCTTTCTGTGCATTCAAAATGTCCCTGGAGCCGTGCTTCCAGCTGGATCTATTGGCAGAGCTGTTTCCTTCAGCTTCGGCTCCGGTACGGGGGGGGTACATGAGGTACAGCAGCCGCTCGGTTCCACGGTCCTGATTCAGTCCCACAGCAGGACTCATTAGCACCAGAAGATGCAGGCATGCTGGAAACAGTGCCTGAGCACAGCACTAAATCTGACCGTGCTGTAATGCATATGCAGAAGGACGAGTGGGAGGGTCCTAGCTTTTGGTGTTTGACACCCTTAGAACTGTTCTCCAAATGCAGTTAGTGCATGTATAATTTATAGACTTTTTCTTTGTCCTTGTGGCATGTCTCTGATCTCTCCAGCGGAGCGCGGTTCGGGAGGCAGGGGGTGCCTCAGCGGATGCCCCACTGACTGACAGCGTCGCGTTGGCTGCGCAGGCAGTGAGGTGTCCTGGTCTCGCTCTGCCGTCGGCTGTGGCTCAGCCTGGTCCCCCGGGAGCTTGCAGGGTCCGTGTCTGCCCCCACTGCCTGGACTGTGCCTGGAGCGCTCCTGCCCCATGCTTGGCTGTTGGAGTGGCTCCTGGCACCCCTGCCCCGTGCCCATTAGCATCCTCATTAAGAAAGTCTCCGGAGCAGGGTGGCCACACAAGCTGTCCTCTGGGAGCGCTCAGCCAGGCTGCACTGGTGCTGACCCACATGCAGGGGCACGGTCCAGCACAGAAACGTGCCAGCCCATCCATCCCCTGCCACTGAGCGTGTTTCCCGTACTGGCACAGCCGTAGCTGGGGTTGCTGGTCCCACGCTGCGGGGCTGGACTGGGTCCTGTGGTCCTGCAGGCTCTGCCCTGTTCCATGCGGGTGCCAGCACGGCCACTGCCTCAGGCATGCACAGAGCTCGGCTCTCCAGTGAGCTCCCTCCCCTCCTCAGCCTGTTGCTGTCCATACTAACGAGATGCCCCATCCGCCGGCCATGCCTTCGCCGCGTCCTGCCTCACAAACACCTCCCGGTGTCTGGGCACAGCTCCAAGACTGGGGAAGGGAAGCGCCGTGTGGCTGGCTGCTGGCGCGTGGAGCAGCATCCCGACAAGTGCTGGACGAGGGGCGCAGAGGTGTGAGCCGTGGGTCCCCCGCACTGGCCGGGCCAGGCCCTGGCTGAGCCTGCTGCTGCTGGGCTCGCTGTGGTCCTGGGGAGGCGCGGGAAATCTGGCCCAGCTGGGAAGTTTGCTCGTTCCCAGTGCATGGGGACTCCAGGCTGCTGTGCTGAGTCAGCTGCTTCGGTGCAGTGAGAGCAAGGCAAGGCGGCGAGCAGGGCCAGGGGGGGGCTGCAGGGAGGGTGAGAGGGCTGTGGGGGGAGCAGAGCTCCCAGCTCAGTGTGCTGCAGCAGTACGGGGCTGGGGGCTCCCTGGGCTGCATGGCGGGGTGGGCACCACCGGTGCCAGCTGCGGGATGCAGGGCACGGCATGGTGCCAGGGGCACCCATAGCACTGTGCTCCTTGCCCGTGCCCAGGCACCTGTGGGTGTCTGCAGACCTCAAGTGCAGGACAGCAAGCCATGAATCTGAGCAGCGTCACTCCCTGCCGGGGCTGGTGACTCCTGCTCTGCCCTCCAGTGCCTCCTTCTCACAATGCTGCTTCCCAAAACGAGCCACAAATCCTCTGTGCCCAGGGGAGCAGGGGCTCCTGAGCAGGGCTCAGAGGTACGTGCCATGTACCTGAGCAGTGCGAGGGGCCAGAAAGGGTGGCCAGTGACCACGGTGGGCGCAAGAGATCCAGCTGTGTGTGGGGGCCTGGTGTTGGTTGGGGTCAGGGCTGGGGAAGGGGTTTGCTCTGCCTGTGCGGGGAGGAGGCGCTGTGTGCAGCTGTGCGACAGCGGGGCTGGGGGTTCCTCCCTGCGTGGGAGCCCTGCTCGCAGCCAGGGCAGCCTGCCCCAGCGATGCCCGTCTCAGAGAGGAGCCCAGCACTGGAAGCTGCCATCCCAGATGCAATACCTCTTCTTCCTTGAGGCTGGTTCTCACATGCCCAAATTGGCTAAATGTCCCCAAGTCACAGCCTCGTCCCATGCACTGAGCTGCTCTCCCACGCCCGCAGCCCTGCCCCAGCTCCAACAGGTGGCACGTGCGGGATGGGACCCTGTGCCCCATACACGACGGGTCCTGTGCCACTGCAGCCAGGTCCCACATAGGTTGGGCACCCCACACCTTGTCCAGCCCCATGCACAGCGGGTGCCCCCTGCCTGTCCATCCCCACGTACAAGCCCCCTGTGCCCAGCGCAGCCTGACCTGCTCCTCTGCGCTGTTCCCGTCCCGTCCCGCTGTGCCCCTGCAGCAGGGGCTGCCTGCTCCCAGCGCCCTCTGAACACGAGGTACCAAGCCCCAGCAAGGCAGAGCTATTTTTAACAGCTTCTTCTGCTTGATTTGAGCTGTGAACTTGTAACGTGTTTATGCTAAAGGGGTTTCTTTTTTTCCCTTCTCCTTTTGTGCTGAGGAGGCAGCGCCAGAGATCAAAGCTTGTCTCTTCGCGTTTTGTGATGGCCGCGCTGGGTGGGAGGTGTGCAGAGGCCGGCGGCTCCACGGGGCAGCCAGAGACATCCCCGTCCCCGTCCCCATCCACAGGAGGGAGCGGGCAGCAGGGCCGGGGCTCACCTCCTTTCTCTGTCCCCACAGGTCTGGGAGCCAGGAGCCATGCGCAGGGACGGCTGGCACCCGGTGCCCTGGGGAGCCCACCGTGGGGGGCACTGAGCCCGGGTGGAGGCGGCGGGACCATGGGCTGCTGGTGCCAGCGGGGAGGCACGGTGGCAGGCAGGGTCGTCAGGGTGTCCGCGTGCTGTGGGCTGTAGGGGCTGTGCAGTGGGCGGCGTGCCCAGCAGCCCCTCGCCCGCCTCCCACACGGCGTCCCCTCTCCGCGGCAGCACGGGATGAGGCCGCCCAGTGCCCCGGACAGCTCCGGGGACGGGCGCAGCGCAGGGCTCCGAACGCCACAGCTCGGCCCCGCTGCAGCGCCCCGCCACAGGGCCTCGGCCCCGGGGCCGTGAGCCATGGTCAGCAGGGAGCCCCTTGCTGGGCCGGCCCCCGCCAGCGAGGGCGGCCAGGAGAAAGCCATGACGGTGCGCTCGGTGCTGCTCAACCGCGACTCGCCCGACATCGAGAGCCGCCTCCAGCGCCGGCGCAACCGCACGCAGCAGGTCCGCTTCAAGGACCTGGTGGAGGGCAGCGCGGAGCAGGCGGGCAGCCCCCCACCAGGGCCCGCAGCCGCCCCTGGCCCCAACACCCCACGTGCCTCGCCGCCCCCCAGGGACGCCCCTGAGCCGGCGGCTCTCTGTGCCTCGCGGCGGAGCTGGCCCCAGGCCCAGCCATGCTCGCTGACGCTGCCCATGCCCAGGAAGGCGTGCGCGAGCGCTGCCATCCAGACCTCCCCCAGCCTGCAGAAGCCCTTCCCAGCCTCCCAGCCCCGCAGTAAGAGTGTCTGCGACATGGCCGGGGTAGTGGGGCTGCCCACTGCCCTGGGGAGCGCCCGCTGCCCGGGGGGCCCCTCGCCCACCCCCTCCATCCGGGCTGTGCCCCCACACGTGCCCGGCAGCCTCCCCGCACATGAGCGTGCCGCCGCCCTCACCCAGCGTGCTGCGGCGTGCCACGCGTCACCGCCACCGCCCAGGGATCCCTGTCCCCCTTATCCGGGCACAGCCGGGTGCCCTGCTGCCAGCTGTACCTCCCCAGCCAAGAGCTGCCCCCCTGAGCCCTGTGCCCGGCTCTGTGGGAACCCCAGGGGCAGCCGGAGACCCTCCCAGCGCCCGGCCTCTGTGCCCTGCGGCCAGCCCCCGCTGCCCGCTGAGGTGCAGGGGCTCGGCCGGAGCGACTCAGAGCACAGCCTGCCCCGCGGGCGCCTGCTGCCCCAGCCCTCTCCGCATTGCCAGCAGACCCTCCCCACCGCGCACATCCAGGGGCTCCGCCAGCCAGCTCAGGGCACCTCCCCCCGGGACCCCCCACCACCCCAGCACCAGCTCTGCAGCTCGCCATGGGGGGGGCCCTGCTGCACCCCGCCAGCCCCCATCCTACCAGCGCCAGGCTGGCACAGCTCAGCCGCCACACCGGAGAAGACACCAGCTGCGCTTGGCCGTCCGGACACCCGTGACGGCATCAGCAGTCGGCTGCGGGCCGCCGATCCCGGGCACGGCCAGGTGGGACCAGAGGGACACGGGGAGCTGCTGCCCCCGGCCCTGCAGGGCTCCGGCACCGGGACTCAGCTGGGCGGGCGGGCGCCAGAGGCCCCCCAGCACGGGCAGCCCTGCCTCACCGCCCAGCAGTCGGAGACGCTGCGCCACGTCCAGGACCTTCTGCAACTGGTGGTCGCAGCCAAGGGGCCAGCGGCAGCACCGGCGGGGGACGAGCACACCCGAACATCTCAGGGACAGGGCCCTGCGGGGGCGCAGGGGGACCTGCAGTCCCAGCTGCAGTCGCTGGAAGGGGTGCTGGAGACCAGCCAACAAACCATCCGAGTGCTGCTGGACGTCATCCAGGACCTGGAGAAGAAGGAGGCCCAGCGGGACGGGTGAGCAAGCGCAGGTGGGGGACAGGGGGCAGATGTCCTTCGGGGGGCTGTGGATGAAAGACGGGTGGCCAGGGCCCTTGTCAAGGGCTCGGTCTCTGGTGCTGCCGGTCTGTGCCACAGGAATGGCCCCCGCTGTCTGTCCTGCCCATCCCTGCTCTGTAGGTCAAGGGCAGGGCATGCCCCGGGCCAGTTTTCGTGGCCTCGTTTGTGTTTTGCAGTACCAGGCGCTGCCCGTGGCTCGGGATATTCCCGTTAACAACTTGCTAGGATTCCTCTGGGTTGGCCGCCAGCAAGGCAGAGGGTCCTGTGCTGGGAGCCTGCCATGCCCAGGGGGCACAGCCTGGGGGGCTTGGCAGGGTTTGGCACGCTCTGCCTGTTAATGAACCTTAACGAACCGTCTGTGTCTGAGGGGGCCCAGGTGCCTGGTGCCTGCTGATGGGGACATCGCCTGTGCCAGCTGCAGGTGGCATCGCCGGTAGGGCTCTGCTGGGCTTCAGCTGCGTGCGACAGCCCAGGGCACTGGGCCGGGACAGCTCATTAGCTTGGCAGCTCGTTAGTTTGGCCTCATGCTGGCAAGGGGCCGCGCCTGGCACGTGCACCAAGCCGGGCGCGTGCCATGGCAGCGAGCTCAGGGGGGCAGGGGGCACCCGGCGTGAGGTCCTGCCCTGCCAGAGGGCACCTCCTGCGGGTCCTGTCCCTCCCGCCTGCACAAGCGCTTAATTGTTTAACCAAATTAAGTGGCTGCTAAATAATTCCTTCCACTTCCACTTCCACTGGCCTCACTCCTCGGGACTGCACAGGGGCTGCTGCCCGTGCTGGGCGGAGGGCATGGCCCTGGGGTGCCCCTGCCTGTGGGGTGCCCCCAGAGGGGTCCCGCCGGGCAGGGCTGTGTCCCAGCCTGGCTTGGTGCACGCAGGTCCAGAGCAGAGCCCGTCCAAAGGGCAGATCTGCTCCCACGGTCGGAATTGAGTTTGTCTGCTCAGGAAGCTGATTTAGCTTCACCGTGGGGAGCTTAATTAAGATCTCGGCTCCATATACTGCTGCAGTCAAATGAGCAAACGCTGCCCAGAGACATAAGGAACGGGGTAGGAAATCACATAAAAGATTTTCCCAGTGTCCTTCTGCTGAGGAACAGCCTGGCCTTATTTGCCACGGGTCAGCGTCCCGGCAGACCTGCGGGTGGCCCCGAGGCGCTGCCACCAGCCCCAGCACCGCTCGCCCCGTAGTGCAGCCTCACAGGGCCCGGGTGTCTCCCAGCAGCAACTTCCCGAGCCAAACGTCTGTCCCCACGTTAGATCTCATCCTGACAGAGGCGCAGTTTATACAGCATTAGGTCCACGTGTATACACACCTTCTGTATACGCATATAAAAGGTATCATGATCTAATTTATGTGCCAGAGTATAATCCCAATTGTAATATATAATTTGGTGCATTAAAAGACCTAGTTTCCGAGGGCTGAGAACAGTCATGATCAAGGTCGAGTAAGAGGAGAATGATTCAAGCAGGAAGCTGTGCCTGGTATTTGGGACAGGGGGGTGTTTTCTCAGCTGTCCCCCAAAAAGCCGCAGCCTGCACTGCCTGAGGGGCACAGGAGGTGAGGAGGCAGCTGCTAGGGTGACCGCCAGCCTTTAGGGGGGCAGCTGGTGCCAGGGGCTGGGGCTCGGTGCTGCACAGGGAGCCGCCCCAGGGAGCTGCTGAGCTCCGGCAGGGCAGCAGGATGCAGCTGGCCGAGGATGCATCGGGGCAAGTGTTTAGCACTAGCAGCAGAATACCATTTTCTGCAGAGATCCGGGAGGAGGACTGGCTTTGGGGCTGAGCTGACCTTTGGGGCTCAGCAGCCATCTCTGCTTTATTTAAGTCCCTTGCACCTTCCCTGGAGGAGGCAGCTTCTTTGATACAAAAGCTTCAAAAAGAGAGAAATCCTAAGTCCAGCGTAGGCTGGCGATTAGGCTGGCACATCTCCCTCTGCCCATCTGTCAGGGCACTGCTGTGTGCTGTGAGTGCTCCCCCCTGTCCCCCACGCTGCCCGTGGCCCCGCTCCCTGCAGGTGCTGTGCGTGGGGAGATGCAAAGTGTCCTGGGGTGTCCCTGGGCACGAGGTACAGCTCTGGGGTGGTGATAAAACGAGGCTGACAGAGTGCAAAGGATTCAGGGCTTCTGCCATGCCTGCCTGGTTTGCAACCAACTGAGAAATCCGCTGAGCTGAGAGGCACCGTGCTTGGCCTGGCATCAAAGGGCATCGCACGGGGCAGGAGAGGAGCGGGGATCCCGGGAGCAGAGGGGTCCCCGCCGGCCGGTGTACGTGCTGTGGGGCAGCTGAGGGCCTGGGGGAGGCACAGGAGGTCGGGTCTCCAGGCTCACAGCACTTTTGCTCTGTTGCAGGCGACACTCGTACCGGACAGGGCAGGACATTGCCAACTGCGGGACCTGCCGGGACTGCGCCTGCATCATCTACAGGTACGAGGCAGCTCTGGGGTGTTCCCGGTGGGGCCCTGCTCTCCTCCGTCCCCATTCCAGGTATCACACTCCTAGTGTGGCTACGAGGCAGAGCAGGGCAAGTCCCAGCTCTCGGGGGGGACATGGCACGACAGTCGTAGCTTTTCCATGGCCCCCCAGCCCCACTGTGCTGCCCGCCCCTCGGGCAGTGCTGGTGCGCCAGAGGAGGCTCGCACGACCTGAGGGACGATCGTGGCACCATAAGACACCCGGGTGCAAGCTGCAGCACCTCCCTCCCTGCCTCCAAACAGGCACCCCAGGGACAGGAGGGGTGCTCAGGGGCAGAGCTGCAGCTGCTCGGTGCCGGTGCCGTGGCTGCTGCCCAGGGCAGTGTGCCTGTCCCCACGCCAGGCTCAGCTCACCACGGCCAAAAGGCCAGGGCTGTGTCCTGGTGTCCTTGGCTCTGAACCTGGGCCCTTTGTCACTGGGGGGGCAGCTCTGGCTTCCCCTCACGGATGCTGTTTGTTTCACAAAGACAGTGGGCTGGCTGGCAGCTGAAAGGAGATCTGCTCTGATGAGGTGACAGGGCATTTATCTTTAAAAGCAATGTGTTGGGGGAAAAACCTCCTTACAGGAGCCCTGGGCTTGCTAGCTCTGAGTCTGGGCTGTGTCTTGTCCGTGCGTGAATTCACGCAGGTGCTGCTGTTGGGTGCTGGTTGTGCTGGGGAAGGCACCCGTCCCATGGCGGTGCCTGGGGCTGCCGGGGGACGAGTGCCCCTAGCAGTGTCCCTGGGCTGGCACATCCCTGCCATGCCAGGGCCTCACCAAGGTGCAGGACCGCAGTGCCTCGGCTCTGCTTCCCCAGGGTCACAGGGTGTGCACAGGAGCAGCCGCTGCCCCGCTACACTGCGCTGGGTGCCTGGGACGCGTGCGCTCTCCTTGGGCATCTCAGGGCCAGGGGTGCCCCAGCTCCGTCCCCCTGTGCCCTGGCACCCTTACACCACTGCGGCACTGCTGGGGCTGTGTCTCTTGTTCCCGGCTTATTTACGCCAGAGCCAACAGCCAGCTCCCCCTCCTTAGCTCATGGGGGCCTTCAGTGCTAATTGGGACTGACGAGCCTGTCTCCACGCGGCACTGCGGCTGGGAGATGTCACTGCTGCGGGAGGTGGCTTCATGTAACAGCCAGGCTCCCGCTGAGGGCTCCCGCTGGGTTTAGCTGCCACCTCCGTGACGGGAAAAGGCTCCGGTGGGACATGGGGTGGGGGCAGAGTGGGATGGGACAGGGGCAGGGGGCACCACCATAGGCAGACCCCGGCCAGCAGCAGCACACCCTCTCTGGCCTCAGGGCTGTGGCTGAGCACCTCACAGGGGCTGCACGCAGGCGGGGACAGAAGGTGGGTCCCCTGTGGCGGGTGGTGAAGATGAGGATGGGTGGGCTGAGAGCACGGAGGGGAGGGGCTGCAGGGGTTCTGGCTGTGCTGCGAGCACCTCCCGACCTTCCCCTGCATGCGAGGGACATCAGCGTCAGCATGCATCCAACATTTCAAAGGGTGCTGCCACGGGGGTCTGCTTTGGGAGAGATCCCCAGTGGTGTGATGGAACCTGTGGGGAATTACCCCTGCAGCAAGCACGTGCACCCTTCCTTGGAGCCCGGGAGCCCTGTTAGAGGCAGCTGGGGACAACGGGTGTCCCTGATGGCACGCAGTGACACGAGCTGCCAGCACACCACACAGGAGCTTGCTGGGGTCCCCGTGTGCGTGGCCAGGCCACGTGCGTGGTGGCGGCAGAGGCAGCAGCACCTTGCTGCTCAGAGGGGAGCCGGCTGCAGGTTGGAGCTCTCTGGGTGAGGAAGCTTTTTACAGCACGTGGCTGCCGGCAGCTTGCCTGTGGGTGCTGCAGGGACAGCGGAGGGGACGTGCAGGAGACCTGGCGCCAGCGGTGGGTGATGCAGCCCCCCCTTCCCTGCCCAGACCCATGGCACCCACGTGCCCAGCGTGACGAGCGGTGTCGGAGCCAGCAGTGCAGGCCTTGCATGCCTGGTGCCGCGGCTGCACTGGGCTCAGGGGAGGGCACTGGGGGTCTGTAACATCAGGGCTGGGTACAGCCCTTCTCCGGGGGTGCTCAGTGCTAACCAGAGTCCCTCAGACCCTGGACCCCCCCCAGTATCTGCACCAGTTTCCAGCTTGGGCTGGTGGCCGGCTCCCACCCCAGGCAGGTCAGTACCCAGGGGGTTGCTGTGGTGGGTGAAGTCCCAGCATTTCTTACTCTGAGCCACAGCTGCTCCTCCAGCTGGAGGGGTCCCCGCGAGCTGTGGAGGGTGCCACGTGCCCTGCTGCAGACCACGGGCAGGACAGGACGGCTGTCTGGGATGGGGACGGGTCCTGGGCGTACCCCTCCTCTCACAGCCCCACAGGGTGCGGGCAGAGGGCAGCAGCTGGCTGCAGGAGGACCTGGGGGCACGAGGACTGGGGTGCAGGCGGCCCTGTGGGCGCAGGGTGGTGGCGAGCGATGCCTCTCACGCGGCCCCTTCTCCCCGCAGCGTGGAGCACGACTTTCGGCAGCAGGAGGGCCGCTTCCAGCGGGTGCTGAGCCACATGGAGGGCGAGGCGGCGCAGAGCTCCCCCGCGGCAGGGCCCGTCCCGCCGGCCAGGCAGGAGCCCTCGCCGGTGAGCAGGCTGCCTGCGAAGCTGGACTCCAAGAAATCCAGGCGCAAATGCTTCTGGTTCCTGTAACCGGTGCTGCCGAGGGGCACGAGCGCCCCGCGCCCACGAGGACCAACCCAGCTCTGACGCCGCACAGGCTCCTTCCTCCTCTCCCTCCCTCTGACGTTAGGGTTTGGGTAGCACCAGCTTTTATATTTTTAACTGTTCAGTTTAATGTAACGAAGCCCCTGTGTAAATAAGAGGTGAGGGGAACAGCTGCTGTATTTAATGAGAAACCAATAAATTCTAGGGAGACGCTATTTTCGTTACATCCTCTCCCAGCTGTGCATTTCTGTTCTGGATGAGGATGGCGCAGCGGGCGCACCCCACACAGGGCTGCGGAGCCCCCCAGCCCCATCTCCTCCCCGCAGGCCCTGCTGCTCCAAGCCTGTCCTGGCTGCCAGCAGCTCCACAGCCCCCCAGGAGGCCCTACAGAGTCCCCCCCGAGGTCAGAAACACCGGGGATCTCCTGCACCCAGGGGACGGAGAGAGGAACCCTGTCCCTGCCCCATCTCAGGTGGGAGGCTGGGCTGGGGTCCCAGGGACACTGCCGCTCTCCTCCTGCCAGCTCCTCTGCCTGGTAGGGCCAGGGAACCTGGGGGGCACCACACGGCCTGTCTGTACCCGGGGTGCTGTGGGACCCCCAGCTACCTCTCCCCACACAGCCAGGGGCTGGAAATTCCCTCTCCCACCCTTTGCAGCTGGTTGGCGGGGGAAGGTGGCCAGGGCCTCCCCGGCTGCAATATGCACTGGCTAATTACAGGCAGGCAGAAATGAGCAGCTCAAATCTTCCAGCCTCTGCAAGGCTGCCCACGAGAGGAGAAACTCAGCGTCAGTTTAATGAGGGTCCTGGATGAAAGCGGCTGGCGGCGGCGGGTGGTGAGCGTATGCTGAGCACGGTGCAGTGAATGCTCCCTGATGCTCCCCACAGCCCCCCCGCCACTGCCATGCTCTGGAGACCCCTGCGAGTCGCAGATTCTCAGGGGTGAGCGCTGCACGGAGCCCAGGGCCAGGCACACCATTGGGACGCAGAACTGGGGGCTCACAGCCGGGCCTCAGCTTCTGCCATCCTGCTGGGGGACTGAGCCCACAGTCAGAGGACAGTGCCTGGCCGGGGCAGGGCAGCCTCTGGCACCCCCACGTTCGGTCATGGAGCCCCTGCAAGCGGGAGGGAGGATGGGGAAGTCTGACCAGGGCATCCCCAGCTGGCACCCAAGGGTGCCCCACCTGCACGCACCCAGCACAGGAGCTGGTGTTGCCTTAAAGCCCGTGCCTGTGTCGATGGCACTCGTGTGGCCACGGCCCCGGGGTGCCGAGGGGACCCCACAGTGCCATGGGGCCCGGCCGTGGGAGGTGCTGAGCGCCCCAGCCTCGGCGGCTCAGGAGATTGTAGGGTGCCTGCGAGCCCCCCGGGATGGGGCTGAGCCATAAAGACCTGGCAGGAGAGATCAGGCACCTTTCAGTGCCTGAGTTGCTGGGACAGAGAACACGGGGAATGCCTTTTTCCAGGTCCTCTTCTGATTCCCAGCAGCAGCAGGACGGGGCTGTGGGGGCCTTTGGCACAGGCATGGGTGTCCCTCGTCCCCCCCAAAGCTTTCTGCAGGCACAGCTGCTGGGAGCAGCCTGGACTGGGGGCCCACACACAAGGGTGAGGCCCAAGACTGCAGCAACACCGTGAAAATGATAAACTAAAGTGGGAAAACTGCTAGACAGCATTTCTGCAGATCAGCAGGGCCAGCACATGGGAAGAGGAGCAAGCAGAGAAAGTGAGGATCAGCCAAAGGCTTGCTCTCCTTCTCTTCGCCTTGAACATCAGGCCATGCTTCAACACCCGGCGTTCCTCATTATCTCTGTCACAGCCCTGGTAGGTAGCTTCAAATAGCTCTTTTTTTTTGCTCTTGCTTCCTCTAGCACTGAATCATGCAGCCTGAGAACAAAAGCTAAACGCAAGATGATACCAAACCCAGCCCTGCAAGCATCTCCTGCCTGAATCACACCTGAATCACAAGCAGCAGGAGCTGACCCTGCCCGGCTGGCACAGCCCCAGGGGCACAGCCTGGCCTGGCAGCACGGCCTGTCCGCAGGCTGCTTGCAGCCAGGCGAATATTTGGGGCAGCACCTTGTCAAGTGGAGCCGTTCGGGGACAGCAAAGCTGCTGTCAGGGAACAGCCCGGGGACTGGGCAGCCACGGGGCAGCAGGGGCAGGGCCAGCAAGAAAAAAGCTCCCGTCCTGCCTGCTGGCTGCATCGCCTCGCGTGCATTAGGTTTTCATGAATGAGAGCCAAGGATGGGACAGCAGAGCTACAGGAATATCCCAGCAGGATTCCTTAAGCAAAGGGCTGAGCTGCAACTCAGGGTGCTCACACCTCCCTGGGCATGGTGCACTGCACAGCATGGTGTGACACGGTACAGCACGGTGTGACGGTACAGCACGGTGTGATGTGGTACAGCACGGTGTGATAAGGTACAGCACGGTGGGACGGTACAGCACAGTGGGACACGGTGCAGCACGGCGCAGTGTGGCATGGTGCAGCACGGTGTGACAGTGCAGCATGGTGTGATGGTACAGCACAGTGGGACACGGTGCAGCACGGTGTGACATGGTACAGCATGGTGTGACGTGGTACAGCACGGTGTGATGGTATAGCACGGTGGGACACGGTGCAGCACGGCGCAGTGTGGCATGGTGCAGCACGGTGTGACGGTACAGCACGGTGTGACGTGGTACAGCACGGTGTGACGTGGTGCAGCACAGTGTGACGGTACAGCACGGTGTGACGTGGTGCAGCACGGTGCAGTGTGGCATGGTGTGACAGTGCAGCGCGGCACAGCACAGCATGGCACAGCACGTATAGCTCTTCTCCACTGCTCCACCCCCAAAACACAGCCAGTCCCAGATGCTCACCCCCTCGCTACCCAGAGCTGTGTGCCTGGCCTGCTCCGCACAGCCTGGTCAAGCATGCTGGGTTTGCCTTCATGCTTCTATAGCACACGTGTAAGCCCACACAGGCCAGGGCTGTGCTGGGCTGTGCTTCCCCCCTTCATGACTAAATCATTGCACCCAGTGCAGCTGCTCCGCAGGAAGCCTCAGCCGAGCAGCACTGTGAGCTGCCAACCCTTCAGCGCAAGGTGGGTGTCCCAGCACGTTCCTCCCATGTGCTCCCGGCATGTAAAAGTGTGAAGGGTCGCTGGGTCTGTCACTTGTTTTCCAGAGAATACTGCCCAAACCTTCATCTGCTTCCAAAATGTCCTTTCTGCATCACAAACACCCAGCCTGCTCCTCCCAGCACACCCTCTACTCCAGAACCCGCTTCTGGCACATTTCCTCCCTCCCCATTTGGGCTTTCTCATGCATCCTGCAGTGTTAAATACCCATAAATCCATCCCCGGCCAGCTGCTGCCAGAGACCGCAGCACCAGCTGAAGAACACCACTTGCTGCCTGTTCCCACGTGCCCACGGCAGCGCAGCCCCACACTGCTCCATCCCCAGAGCCAGCAGGGGACGCGGCGCGGTGCCGCTGCCCGGCAGAGCGGAGGTACTCACCCTCAGGCTGTTCTCCCGCTCCAGGACGATCACCCTCCGGTTGACGGTGTGCAGCAGCCGCTCCAGGACCAGCTGGACATGCTTCTTCACCTTCACCTGAAAGGCAAGAGGTGTCACGGCCACGGCAGGTGCTGCCGGGGGGGCAGGCGATGCGCACCGCTGGTGGGCATCTCCCCAGGCAGCACCAAGCCAGGCTGGGAAGGGTTCGGCCTCCTGGGGGCTGGCATCACCGGCACTGCAGCTCATGAAAACAGCGGGCAAGGAGGCTGCAAAATGCTCCTCGTTTCTGCAGAATGCTCCTCATTAATTGCTGGCAGTGGCTATGGGAGCTGGGGCTGCCAGCATGGGTTTCCTCAGCACCCCCTGAGTGCTCCACACAGTGCCCCAGCCCCTGGCAGCAACAGGCAATCGGTGCTGGTGGAGGAGAAGCTGCACCCTGGAGCCCCTGCTCCCGCTGGAGCAGCCCCAGACCCCCCCGCAGCCCTCCCCTGCAGCCCAGGTGCAGGTTGCTGCTTCACCGCATCCTCCTGGCCAACAGCAACGCCGCCCTGAGCAGAGGCTGCGCAACGCTGCTCCCCACACAAGACGCCAGCTGTGCTAGTACAGACGGTACTAGGAGGAGGCTCCAGCCTCCCCCTTCATTTGTCCATAATAGAAGAAACATTCCCAGCTCACACAAAGAGCTCGGAGCAGCTGGAACGCTGTTAACCCTCCAGCTCCGCCGTCTCCAGGATTCCTGCAGAAGTTTTGCAGGGTTGAAAACCAAGTTTCTCTGCAGGCAGGCACAAGGAAGAAGCCACCCCAGGTTGTCTCAGCAGGGCTCTGCGGTGATGCCAGAGCAGCTCCAGCTCTTGGGAGCCAGGTCAGGATGTGTAAGAGAGGGTGTCCTGCGAGGAGACACCTGGGGACGGATGGTAACAGCAGCAGCGACAGTCTGAGCAGGGCAAAGGTGGCTCTGTGCCAGAGGTGTAAGGGACACCCCGGCATCCCTCCCTTTTCACAAGACCCAGAGCAATTTCCCCCTGCAGGACAGGAGGCACCTCTGCAGCTCAGACAGCACTGGTGAAGCCCTAACACCTCCGAAATAAAAAATCTTGTCGATGCCAGCACAGCACCTACCGCTTGAGCAACCTCCTCCTGTGGGGGCCGGCACCGGGACTGCCAGCCTGCATGTGCCGAGACCCCGAGCCCCGCTGTGGAGCACAACGTGGCCTCGTGTGCCTCCCCAGCTGAGCTGACACAGCCACCTCACCCACCCAGGGCACGGCAGCACACGTCTGATCCAGCCCCCGTGCCAACAGCTCTGAGGTCTGAGGCTCCCAGAAAGCAACAACGGAGCACAGAGCAGCTGGGGAAAGGCAGAACCAGAGGCACCTTCAGCCAAGGCTGCAAACGGCTGCTCTCCTGTGTCAGATGGCTCTGCCCTCTCCTCCCGTGCTGCTCTGCTCAGCAGCCACAAATCCCCTCTGCTCCACCAGGGTGCTGTGCGCCGAGACCCCAGAGCGCAGAAATCCAACACCCTCTTTGTACAGCGGATCCCATGTGCGAAGGGAAGTCCCCGTTCCTTCGGCAACCCCTCAGGGAGCATTTGGCATCCTCGGCACACAAATTTCTTCCTGCACCTCCCAGCCATAGCCCGTGCCAGGAAGGGTGCCCGTCCCCACGCAGGGCACAGCCTGCGGGCAGCCACGGGCCCCTCACCTCCGCCCAGCCCAAGTCTCGCCC